TTATCAATGCCATTTCCTAATTAGTTCTATCATAAAAACATGGAAATAGCTTATTAAACTGGGAAAACTTTGTTTTGCAGGACATTTATTTATTTTTTATTTATTTATTTACAATATTTATATGCCACCCTTCTCACTTCAAAGGAGACTCAGAGCGACTTACAAGTCATATGTACATACAACATACTACATTATCAGCATAGTACTAATACATCATTCATAACATTAGTATTATATAATATTATATTGTTGCTGGGGGAGGGGCTCTGATGTCACAGGAAAAAGATGGAACTGTCTTCCCGGTTCCCCTTCTTTACTCTGGTCCCAGAGCTATATCACATTTTGCTCTGATTTTTCAATGAATATCTCATTGAATCTCAACCGATTCAACACAGGGTTGTTGTAGGTTTTTTTGGGCTCTATGGTCATGTTCTAGAAGCATTCTCTCCTGATGTTTCGCCCGCATCTATGGCAGGCATCCATAAAGGTTGCAAGGACAGACCTCAAAACCTCTGAGGAGGCCTGCCATAGATGTAGGTGAAACATCAGGAGAAAATGCTTCTAGAACATGGCTATAGAACTCAAAAAAACCTACAACAACCCAGTAATTCTGGCCATGAAAGCTTTTGACAACACATCTATTCAACACAGTTTGTGCCACAAAAACAAATTTTCTGGAGTAGAACAACTACTTTCAGAGTAAGGATTGCACAATTAAACAGGAAATAACACTTTCACACCAGGAACAGAACATTTTTACATAGTGTTCGTTTCAACTTTGTCCATGTGTCCTGACATTGTCTTTCCTGACTTTTTAGTACATCTCTGGGCAGAGTTGCTATACCAATCTGGAGCCACTTTAGGTCTAGATCAAGAGAAAAAATCAGGGTGCAATAATAATAATAATAATAATAATAATAATAATAATAATGTATTTCTTCAGACATACATAAGACACATTTTTCCTTATATAAACATCTCTAAAAGTGGGATGCATCTTAGAATTGGGGGTGTAACTTATGTATTTCTGGTGGTAGTTCTGCAATTGGGGTGCCTCTTGCAATCGATGGCATCTTACAATTGAAAAAAATATGGTATGAATAATAATAATAATTTGGCACTGAGTTCAGGACCATTTGTGGAAGTATAACTCAGACTATAGCAAGGTTTTGTTGTCCTTTACTTGTACAGTGATGTGATAGTGTTATATAAATAAACTAGCTGTCCCCTGCCACGCGTTGCTGCGCCCCAGTCTGGTGATCTAGAAAATAAAGTAATGAGAAAGTGTTTGTTTCTAATATATGTAATTTCTTTATGCTTGTGGGTAAACAGTATTTCTTGCTGTTTCTTTGTCAGTGTTGATGTAGAGATTGTCTGGTTTGCCTACTATGGAACAGGCAACATATTATTGTCCTTCTTTAGGGGTCCCTTTCAAATCTATGATACTATATCTCTCTGTGTGTAAATCATATATATCTATATCTATGGCTGGATGGCTCTTTGTCAGGAGGGCTTTGATTATGTTTTCTTGCCCTGGTGAAGGGAGTTAGACTGGATGGATTTAAGTATTTTCTGTTGGTCATGGGGGTTCTATGTGGGAAGTTTGGTCCAATTCTGTCGTTGGTGGGGTTCAGAACGCTCTTCGATTGTAGGTGAACTATAAATCCCAGTAACTACAATTCCCAAATGCCAAGGTCTATTTCCCCCAAACTCCATCTGTGTTCATATTTGGGCATATGGAATATTCGTGCCACGTTTGGTCCAGGTCCATCATTGTTTGAGTCCATGGTCGTCTCTGGATGTAGGTGAACTACAACTCCCAAATTCAAGGTCAATGATCACCAAACCCTTCTAGTGTTTTCTGTTGGTCATGGGAGTCCTGTATGTCCCGGTTGGTTGGTTCAATTCTATCATGCTATTTGATTGTACGTGAACTATAAATCCCAGCAACTACAACTCTCTATCTATCTATCTATCTATCTATCTATCTATCTATCTATCTACCTATATCTATGGCTGGATGGCTCTTTGTCAGGAGGGCTCTGATTACATTTTCTTGCCCTGTTGAAGTGAGTTGGACTGGATGGCCTTAAGTATTTCCTGTTGGCCATGGGGGTTCTGTGTGGGAAGTTTGCCCCGATTCTGTCGTTCGTGGGGTTCAGAATGCTCTTTGATTGCAGGTGAACTATAAATTCTAGTAACTACAACTCGCAAATGCCAAGGTCTATTTCTCCCAAACTCCATCTGTGTTCATATTTGGGCATATGGAATATTTGTGCCAAGTTTGGTCCAGATCCATCATTGTTTGAGTCCACGGTGCTCTCTGGATGTAGGTGAACTGCAACTCCCAAACTCAAGGTCAATGCCCACCAAACCCTTCTAGTGCTTTCTGTTGGTCATGGGAGTCCTGTATGCCATGTTTGGTTCAATGCCATAATTGGTGGAGTTCAGAATGCTCTTTGATTGTAGGTGTACTATAAATCCCAACAGCTACAACTCCCAAATGACAAAAACATAATTTTTGAGTGATGATCACTCCTTGGGTTAGTAGGTGTCTTGTGGCCAAATTTGGTGTGATTTCGTTCATTGATTCTTTTGTTTTTAAGGTACTCATTATGCACAGAGCATTTTTATATATATAATATGATAACAACAACCACTGCCTAAGGATAATGGAGAGGGAGTTCATACGGGTGTCATTTCACCTTGAAATTGGGGATCCGGTGGTGGACGGGTCTTGGGAAATCTGCCAAGTTGTTTGCTTCCATGTGGTCCCAAATGTTTTGCCGGATGTCTGCCTTGGAAACGCCTAACCAGGAGCATGAAATGAGAGGGCAACGAGTTAAAAGACAACCACTAGGAACAAATGAACAAAACCTTGTTATCAGTATTAAAAAAACACCAGAATCAAGACAGTAAATTTAGGAACAGGGGAACTCCAGACAGCAAAAAATCAAGTGGTGGAGGCTCCTTCTTTGGAGGCTTTTAAACAGAGGCTGGATGGCCATCTGTCAGGAGTGCTTTGAATGTGTTTTTCCTGCTTCTTGGCAGAATGGGGTTGGAGTGGATGGCCCACCAGGTCTTTTCCAACTCTAAGATTCTATGATTCTAAGTGACAGTTAACACCTTCCAAAGGATGCCTCCAGGCAACAACAGCCAACAAATACCCCCCACTTTGCAACTGCAAGGCTACTCAATGCTAATCAAGCATGCTAATTGCAACATCCACACTTGTAGATATGTATACACTCCACTTGCTTCACCTCTAAAAGATCTCTGAAGATGCCATTAGCCACAGATGGAGGTGAAATGTCAGGAGAGATTGCTGCTGGAACATGACCAGACAGCCCGGAAAACTCACAGCAACCCAGTGATGCCGGCCATGAAAGCCTTCTACAACACAATCACTAGTAACTTCACAAAACTTCAGAAATCTCTATGGGACTTGAAAACACACAACAAAAATACCAGGTAATTCCTGAGCCCCTATACATGAGCCCTAATTCTGGAAAGGTAAAGTATTATTATTATTATTATTATTATTATTATTATTATTATTGCTGGGGTCATCATAAAGGGACTTGAAAACACCCAATAACAAGAATAGGTAATTCCTGAGCTTCTATACATGAGCCCTAATTCTGAAAGGGCTAATAATAATAATAATAATAATAATAATAATAATAATGGGCCACCATAAAGGCTGAAAGGATAAAGATGATGATGATGATTATTATTATGATTATTATTCTTTACCATTCTAGAATTAGGGCTAATAATAATAATAATAATGCTAGAGTCATCATAAAGGGACTTGAAAACACACAACAAAAATACCAGGTAATTTCTGAGCCCCTATACATGAACTCTAATTCTGGAAGGGGAAAGAATTATTATTATTATTATTATTATTATTATTATTATTATTATTTCTGGGGTCATCATAAAGGGACTTGAAAACACCCAACAACAATAATAGGTAATTCCTAAACTCCTATACATGAGCCTTAATCCTGGAATGGTTAATAATAATAATATTAATAATAATAATAATAATAGGTCACCAATATGATGATTATTGTTGTTGTTGTTGTTGTTGTTATTCTTTACCATTCCAGAATTGGGGCTAATAATAATAATAATAATGCTAGGGTCACCATAAAGGGACTTGAAAACACACAACAAAAATACCAGGAAGTTTCTGAGCCCCTATAGGTAAAGGTAGTCCCCTGACATTAAGTCCAGTCATGTCTGACTCTGGGGTGTGGTGCTCATCTCCATTTCTAAGCCGAAGAGCCAGCGTTGTCCATAGACACCTCCAAGGTCATGTGGCCGGCATGACTCCATGGAGCACCATTACCTTCCCGCCGGAGCGGTACCTATTGATCTACTCACATTTGCATGTTTTTGAACTGCTAGGTTGGCAGAAGCTAGGGCTGATAGCGGAAGCTCACGCCCCTATACATGAACTCTAATTCTGGAAGGGTAAAATATTGTTATTATTATTATTATTATTATTATTATTATTATTATTATTATTATTGCGGGGGTCATCATATAGGGACTTGAAAACACCCAACAACAATAATAGGTAATCCCTGAGCTCCTATACATGAGCCCTAATTCTGGAAGGGTAAACAACAACAACAACAACAACAATAATGGGTCACCATAAAGGCTGGGAGGATAAAGATGATGATGATGATTATTATTCTTTACCATTCTAGAATTTGGGCTAATAATAATAATAATAATAATAATAATAATGCTGGGGTCACCATAAAGAGACTTGAAAACACACAACAAAAATACCAGGTAATTCCTGAGCCCCTATACATGAGCTCTAATTCTGGAAGTGACAACAACAACAACATCAGTTCCTTACTAGAGGGGACAACTTGCTCGCCGGTCTCCATACTTCACTGAATGGCAACAAAACTGCTTTGATCATCAGTTACATTATAGCCAATGACAGATTATTTTTGTCCCTGGCTACGGCAGCCGAAAAGGGACAAAAAGGAAAGGATTCATAGCTTCAAATAATCCACAAGATGTCGCTGTCCCTATTTAATCCAACCCAGAGAAATCCATATTGTTATATTTAAATTCTAGGGCATGGTGTCATTCACCCCCTTGTCCTGTAGAGGGAGCCAAACTCAAAAAAGTTGAACAAGGAGAAGAAGAAGCCAAAGGAGGTGAATTCACCCAACTTCATGCAAAGCAATTGAGTTTATTTAATGTTGTCTTTTCCAACAAACAATGCGAAGATGGAGAGCATCATCAACTGAGGAGCCGCAGCAATGAATATATATATATATATTTTAAAACGAGAGACAGGGCCTTTTCTGTGGTAGCCCCTCGGCTTTGGAACACCCTCCCTTCAGAGATACGATCGGCTTCTTCGCTGATGGTTTTCCGGAAGAGGTTAAAAACATGGCTGTGTAGTCAAGCGTTTAACTAGTTATCAAACACTGAATCCATGGACAATTTGGACTGGTCAATTACGGACAACGATCTCTGGACTGCGATTTTTGTGATGAGAAGCATGAAGTTTTATTGGTGGCCCAATAATTCGTATTGTTTTATATGTTGCTGTTTTTAAATTGTATATTGCTTTTATCTGTTGTTAAACCGCAATGAGTCGCCGTTCCAGGCTGAGATACTGCGGTATATAAGTGTATTAAATAAATAAATAAATAAATAAAAGGCAAAGGAGAGAGGGAGCCCTCTATGCGAAGGTAAAATGCCAGAGAACCTTATGCAACTCATTTTAAAGCAATTCTTAATAGAAGAAGAGTTCTGTATAGTTGCAAACCTTACTTTGCTATATTAAAATACTTTGATGATGTATTAACTTGCAGGAAAGGAGTCATTCCTGTCAAAGGGTTCAATCAGGAATGAGGTAGGAGGAATGGTCTCAGTGAATTGCACTGAAAGGGGTGCAGCTACACTCTAGAATTAACACAGTTCGATGCCGTTTTAACCATCCCAATCGGAAACAGAAAGTCAAAACTACACCTCCCAAGATCCCATCGCCTTAAGCCAGGGCACTTCATGGGCTGGACACACCCTGAGTTCAATTGCACTCACTCCCAGGAAAAGGGCCAACAAATTCCATGAGATCCTAAGATCTTTCTTGGGGTGCGTCTACACTGTAGAACTAGGGCAGTTTGATACCAGTTTCATTGCCATGACTCAATGCTATGGACATTTGCTGAGATGATCTATCTTGGAAGAGAAGGCTAAGGGCTTTGTGGAAATGAGAGTCTAACTAGCTATCTACCTATCTATTTTTCTATTTGTATTTCTATATTTACCTATTTCTCTCTCTCTCTCTCTCTCTCTCTATGTCTATATTTGTCTATCTATCTATGTCTGCTTCCCTCTATCTATCTATCTATCTATCTATCTATCTATCTATCTATCTATTTCTCTCTCTACTTTTATTCCCCCCTTTATTTATCTATCATCTGTTTTCTCTCTCTCTCTCTTTCTCTATTTACATATCTATCTCTATATCTATTTCTCTCTGTCTGTTGTCTTTCTATCTATCTATTTTCTCTCTCTCTCTATTTCAATATTTCTCCTCTCCATTTCTGATTGTCTGACTATCTATATCTATCTATTATATCTATTTCTCTATTTGTCTATATAACTACATCTATATGTCTCTCTTTCTATCTCTCTATTTCTATCATCCCTCTCTATTTCTATATTCTTGATCGCCCAAGTATCTATCTATCTATCTATCTATCTATCTATCTATCTATCTATCTATCTATTTCAAATTGTGTATCTGTCCCTACCTGCCTACCCAGCTATATCTATTTACCTATTTATTTCTCTCTCTATTTCTATCACCTCCCCCTCTATTTCTATATTTGTCTGTCTATCTATCTATTACTCTTTCTCTATTTCTCTATCTATCTATCTATCTATCTATCTATCTATCTATCTATCTATCAATCTATCAATCAATCTATTATTCTATCCTTTTCTCTATCTATCTATCTATCTATCTATCTATCTATCTATCTATCTATCTACTTATTTCTCTATCTATCTATCTACCTATCTATTTCTTTTTCTCTATCTAATTCTCTATTTCTCTATGTACCTATCTATTTCTCTGTCTATCTATCTATCTATTTCTCTATCTATCTACCTATCTATTTCTCTATCTATCTATCTATCTATCTATCTATCTATCTATCTATCTATCTATTTCTCTATCTATTTCTCTATCTTTTTCTCTATCTATTTCTCTGTCTATCTATCTACCTATCTATTTCTCTATCTATTTCTCTATCTATTTCTCTGTCTATCTATCTACCTATCTATTTCTCTATCTATCTATCTATCTATCTATCTATCTATCTATCTATCTATCTATCTATCTACCTTTCTATTTCTCTATCTATTTCTCTATCTATCTATCTATCTATCTACCTTTCTATTTCTCTATCTATTTCTCTATCTATCTACCTTTCTATTTCTCTATCTATATCTATCTATCTATCTATCTATCTATCTATCTATCTACCTATTTCTCTATCTATCTACCTTTCTATTTCTCTACCTTTTTCTCTATCTATTTCTCTATCTATCTATCTATCTATCTATCTACCTATCTCTACCTATTTCTCTATTTTCTCTATCTATCTATTTCTCTACCTATCTATTTCTCTATCTATCTATCTATTTCTCTATCTACTTATCTATTTATCTCTCTCTCACTCTATCTATCTTTGCCTCTACCTGCCTATTTCTATTTCTATCTCTATTTCTCTCTCTATATGTGTGTGTTTGTGTGTGTGTGTCTTTTAATCCCCCTCTCCTCTATCGAGCAATACTTCCACTACCAACCCCTGTTCAATACATTTGCAAATGTCCCTCCTAAATCCAACATCAATGTCTCCTCCCCAGCAAATATTTTCCTCTTGCCTTGACTTTTTTTTTCACTTCCTCGGTTTCTTCAAAGCTCTTAAGTCTGAGTTTCAAGACCCAACAGCTCTGGCCCTTCTAAGCGCCTGCCTGTCACGCCATTCCGACGTTCCTTCTCCCTTTCAGGCGCGTTAGGTTTGATTAAGTCGGGAAAGCTTGCAAAGTCATGGAAAAAAAGAAAGGAAGGAAGGAAGGAAGGAAGGAAGGAAGGAAGGAAGGAAGGAAGGAAGGAAGGAAGGAAGAAAGAAAGAAAGAAAGAAAGAAAGAAAGAAAGAAAGAAAGAAAGAAAGAAAGAAAGAAAGAAAGAAAGAAAGAAAGAAAGAAAGAAAGAAAGAAAGAAAGAAAGAAAGAAAGTAGGAAGGAAAGAAAGAGTTCCGCTTTGCTCTCTCCTTTCCTCTTCACCGCAAAATAAAAACAGGAACGCGAAAACAACGCAAAGGAAGGAAAAGTTCCAATGCTTCCCTTGGAGACGTTTCCAAACCCTTTAAAAGGACCAGTTCTGAGCCAGGCTTTGCATGGGTAGGCGTCCACAAGACTGCATAATAATGATACAAAAAAAGTGCAATAATTAATATAACAACAATAATAGCATCATTATTATGTATTGGAATGTTTGTTCGAACAAAGCATAATACAGAAACATTGTTATGCATTTAGAGGTCTCTTCCTACACATACATACATACTAAGAATATCATTATGTTTTAAAAGGTTTATTCCTGCACATAATAATACTAATAGTACTGCTAATAATATATCATTATTATGCAGTTAGAGGTCTATTCCTACACATCATCATCATGAACAACCATTAAGTTTTAGATTTATTTATCCTTATAATAATAATAATAATAATAATAATAATAATAATAATAATAAATCTTCATTATTGTTAGTGATATGTTTAGGGTCTATTCCTACACATCATCATCAACAACAACCATTAAGTTTCAGATTTATTTATCCTTATAATAATAATAATAATAATAATAATAATAAATATTTATTATTATTATTATTAGTGATATGTTTAGGAATAGACCTCTAAATGCACAACAACAACAACAACATGTCACTGCATTTAAACATCCATGCCTACACATACCACTACTACTGCTGCTACAATCATTATGTTTTAAAGGTTTATTCCTACACATAATAATATTAATAATACTGCTAATAATATATCATTATTATGCAGTTAGAGGTCTATACCTACACATAACAATACTAATAATCCTGTTAATATCATTATTATGCATTTATAGATCTATTCCTACACATCATCATCAACAACAACAACAACCATTGAGTTTTAGATTTATTTATCCTAATAATAATAATAATAATAATAATAATAATAATAATAATAAATATTTATTATTATTATTAGTGATATGTTTAGGAATAGACCTCTACATGCATAACAACAACAATATGTCACTGCATTTAAATATCCATGCCTTCATATACCACTAGTACTACTGCTACTATCATTATGTTTTAAAGGTTTATTCCTACACATAATAATATTAATAATACTGCTAATAATATATCATTATTATGCAGTTAGAGGTCTATACCTACACATAACAATAATGTTAATATCATTATTATGCATTTAGAGATCTATTCCTACACATCATCATCATCATCATCATCATCATCATCATCAACAACAACCATTAAGTTTTAGATTTATTTATCCTAATAATAATAATAATAATAATAAATATTTATTATTATTATTATTATTATTATTATTATTATTATTATTATTATTAGTGATATGTTTAGGAATAGACCTCTACATGCATAACAACAACAACAACAATATGTCACTGCATTTAAACATCCATGCCTACACATACCACTACTACTACTACTGCTACTATCATTATGTTTAAATGTTTATTCCTACACATAACAATACTAATAATACTGTTAATATCATTATTATGCATTTAGAGATCTATTCCTTCACATCATCATCATCATAAAGTTTTAGAGGTTTATTATTATTAACAACAACAACATACCATTTTTCTGCATTTAGA